GACAAAATTAACAAACGAGCACAGACGTAACAACTAATATCTGCTTTGAATCACTAATACATGATCTGAGTCACTATGTTATTCCCTAATACGTGCTGTGAGTCACTTTGTGATTCACTAATTTGTGTTCTGAATCATTAACACGTCCCCTGAGTCACTTTTTCAATCACTGATACACGTATCTGAGTCATTTTGTAATTCACTAATACGTGTTCTCAATCATTTGTTAATCACTAATACGTGCTCTTAGTCACTTTGTAGTTCACTAATTTGTGTTCTGAATCATTAAAATGTCCTTTAAATCACTTTGTTTATCATTAATATGTGCTATGAGTCACCAATAAGTGTTCTGAATCACTTGTTAATCACTAATACACGCTCTGGGTCATTTTGTGGTTCACTATTATGTACTTTGAATCACTTGTTAATTACTAATATGTACTCTTAAGTTACCGTGTGTCTCTAAAGCTCATCAATGCCTAACATATAAACTGTAAGTCTATTCATTTGTCAGGTGTCTGTGAGAAGATCTGATAAGCCATTAAAATACATTTATTAAATACCAATCAGGTTTGTTTGTAGTTAAACACAAAGCTACACAATGGACTATCTATGCTCTGCCCACCATGGGTATCAAAACCCGGATTCTGGCGTTGTAAGTCCACAGACATACTGCTGTGTCACTGGTGGAGCTACCAATCAGGAATATACCACAAAAAGTTATTATTAATGATAATGATGATAAAACCAAATGAAACTAAGTTATACAAATAAAATGGACTACGTGCAATATTTAAAGGGATCTTTCCTGGTTCGGAGTGTATTAAAATTGAATAAGTTGAAAAGGATTCCTCCATGTAAAATCTAATGGTTCTTCCTAGTGTGTCATTTCTGAAACCATCAAGAAACTATATCCTTAAAGGAAGAATAAAAATGGATGCATCCAACAGAGCTAATACAAAATGGTTGCACCATGTCTGATACCATAATTATAAACTCATCTAAGACAGCTGAACCCACATGAGGCACCGTGTTGTTCAAAATAGTCATAACGTATCTGAAAATGTTTTGCCAGCAAGGTTATCAGTAAAAAAACCACACCTACTGGAATATGAGGTCATCTCGAGGTCAACTAGATGTTACATTACAAATGGTCAAATGTCAAATTAACCTATTCTATAGCCATTACTACTTAATTATGGTATTGGAAAAAATTATGAAAACAATGAATAAAATGCAAATATGGCATTGCTCCCCTCTGTTTTATCAACCTGAACTGTACCAGAGCACAGCAATGTGTTCATAGTTTATATTGTGATTGGCTGTTGTCCACCTAATCAGACAGTGCCTCACTAGCATTATGCCTATAAAAGTACACACAGTCATAACTATGCCCAACAGTAGTATGGTAATTGGACACATGATTCCCAGGACAAAAAATATCATAAACGTAAAGAAGTCAAAGTCTCAGCTGAAGGTTAGTACATGCAATAAATAGAAATTCAATTTCATATTCCAGTAGGAGATGTATGGAAACTCTGAAGAGGGTACACAAAACTGGTACTGTTGATAATAGAAGTGGTCATGATAGAAAGCCTAAATCCGTCAAAAGTGATGTTAAACAACTCAGAATATGCTTTTTACATGATACCTTACAATCCAGTGAACATTGTCAATGACCTAGCTGGAAATACAGGTGCAAATGTGACCTTCAGAGCAGTAAGATAAATATTAGCACAAAGAGGCCTTATGGATACATAGCTGTTCCAAAACCACTGCTTAGGAGAGATAAGCAAATTAAAGGCTTAAATGGGCATCAGATTTATACAGACCCCAGGAGGTGAAATACAGGAGAAAAATGTTATCTCTTGTACACGACTTATTATCTCTATCTCATACTCATTAGACATTAACTCGTGCTCACGAAATAACATATTTAGAGCATGACTTATTATTTCGAGATCACAACATAATATTTATCTCTTGTATGTTCTCTCCATACTTCATACAATGGAATTAACATAGCTGACAGAAGATGCTATTTACATATGAATCAGCAACAGTTTGTTCAATGGCAGAGAGAAGAATGGTATCACAGTACGATATCTACGGTACAGTATGCTGAGGGATTAATACCAGCGTGATGTTAGAAATATACACAAAATAGATGGCACCCCTGACTGTTGAAAGGAAAAAAAGAGCTTCTTATTCATCATTACATACTCTCTGGAACAAGGCTTATTAGGCATACACTCATCTTCCAGTAAGACAATGAGTTCAAGCATACAACAAATGTAGTGAAATAATATGTGGAGGAAAGAAAAAAAAGATGGTAGAACACTTACAACTACAGCTTCGCTTGCAAAAAGTCCTGATTTGAATAGTATGAAGGTTGTACAGACTCTTTGAGAAAGTCAAATAGCAATCAAACAGCTTGACTGATTTGTGGGGAGCAATACAGGATCTTGGAACAATATTTCCCAATCATACACTGATAACCTTATAGTAGACAAAAACAGGGTGTACTGCTCTGTTTAAAGCAAACAGAAAATAATAGTGCATTGTATAACTTATTATTTTCTCTTGTATTTTCTTTAATATGTATTGTACTAATAAGAAACCAATGATTTAGTTCCAATCACTCATTGTTTCTAACTCTTTTTCTCTGCTTGGCATTTCCAGAATTATCTCCAAAACTGCAAATATATATCATATACATTGTTTTGTTCTGAACACACAGACTCTTTTGGGAAAAAAAAGTACTTGGTTATGTTTTTAGTAATCATAATACCTGTAAATTATCCAAAACATTATTTCTATTCTTTAGATAAGTATTTAAGTTATAAAGTCTCCTAATGTTTATACTGCTTAGTATTGAACTTCAAAGCCCTATTTTCTAGAGTTGGGTCAGAAAGTAACTAATATACTGGATTAGTTATACTTCCCGTGTCATTCCGATAAATGAGCTATTATTTCGGTGCTACTAACTAGATGGGTGCCATAGAATTTACTTCCTATAATATAAGAATAGGCCACAGATGTAAATAAACCCTTCCTTGGGTTCCAGAGGATACTACTTCGTATGGTATAAGAAGAATAGCTCATAAATGGAAACAAACAATTCCTTGGGTTCCATAGAATATTACTTCCTATAATATAAAAAGTATAAGCCATAGATTGAAACACATCATTCCTTGATTCCATAGAATATTACTCTCTACAGTATAAACAATATAGACCGTAGATGGAAATAAACCATTCTTTTGGTTTTTCTAGAGTATTACTTCCAATAATATAAGAATAAGTGAAAAAAAACTTTCTTGTGATTCGAAGAATATTATTTCCTATAGAATAAGAAGAATAGACCATAAATGGAAGCAAACCTTTTGCTGGGTTCCATAGAATATTTCTTCCTGTAGTATAAAAACTATAGGTCATAGATGAAAACAAACCCTTTCATGGGTTCCATAGAATATTATGTCTTACAATATAAGAGGAATAGGTCATAGATGGAAATAAACCATTCCTTGGGTTCCATAGAATATTATTTCCTATACTATATTAAAAATACGGCCATAGATGGAAATTAATTCTTCCTAGTGCTTCATAAAATACAATTTCCTATAGACGGAGACAAACCCTTTCTTGGGTTCCATAGAATATTATGTCCTACAATATAAGAAGAATCGGCCATAGATGGAAATAAATTATTCCATGGATATTATTTCCTATAATGTAAGAAGTATAGACCATAGATGGAAACAAAAGCTTTCTTGGTTTCCATAGGATATTATTTTCTATAATATAAGAATAATAGGCTATAGATGGAGACAAACCCTTCCTTGCGTTTCATAGAATATTACTCCCTATAGGTTTTCTAGGGTGTTTGGACCATACAAGCATGACATGGCATACAATTCAGGAAACAAAGAAGCAGCAAAGAGATCTGGGTGTGGTGTGGCTTGGCTTTGCCAACGCATATGAATCTGAACCACATGCATTGATTGAGTATGTTATTAACTTCTTCTGGATTTCTGAAAAGGTGGAGGATTTCATTAAGGAATACTACACCGACTTTCAGATGCATTTCTCACTCTGAGAGTATACAAACAGCTGGGAGAACCTTGAAGTTGGTATTCCAATGGAGTGTACTATATATCCCATTCTGTTTGTCCTTGCAATGGAAGTCATCATTAGAGCTGTTGAGAAGGATGGTCCATGGATAAAATTTCACGGAAGAGAAGAGCTTTCACCGATACATTAATTTATGGATGACTTGACCTTACTCAACCCAAGCAAAGAGGCAGCAATGTCAACCTTGTCTAAGTCTGAATATATTATGGACTGAGGAAGGATGAAATTTAAAACCAAGAAGTCACGCAGTTTGGTTTTATAGAAGGGGAAGCTGGTTAACACCCATTTCTTGCTGTGTGGTGAGGAGATTCCATCAGTCCAAGAGCAGCCTGTGAAAAGCTTTGGGTGATAGTATACTGAGGAATTGCAAGATACCTGGAGAGCTCAGGAGGCAGATAAGCAGGTGGTGGAGTCTGGAAATAATTCATAAGTGTGGTCTACCAGGAAAGTTGAAACTTTGGTGTCTGCATTACAGTCCTATGCTTAGGACAATGTGGCCTCTCAGTGGATATGAAGTTGCAATTAGCCATGTAGAAAGGATGCAGTGCCAGATGAATACTTATATGAATAGATGGTTGGGAGTTCCTGATTGTTTGAACAATGCTGTGTTACACAGCTGCCACACAAAGTTGGTGTTGCTAGTGAAGTCTCTTGTAGAGGAGTTCAAGGTATCCAAAGCAAGATTATTAAAAAAATCCTCTGGTCAGAGATACCCAAATATGGGAAATATGTAACACTACCTGACATTGATAATTTATGATAAAATAAAACATCCATTGACTTGCAATAAATTAAGAAGTAGCATCAACTGGAGAAATATAAAAGAATGTATTTTTTACTCTCTGTACTGTGTTTGCCCAGAAATAAAAACAAACAAGCAAAAAAAGCTAAAAGTATTTTAAATATTATTTTATGATACCTTTCCTAATTTAAATTCTAGTGCTTGATTCATGAACTGTTACAAAATTCTCTGAACTTTTTCAACATTTGTACAACTTCAACTTCATTTTAATGCATCTAACTTTTCAACAATATTCAAAAGATACTGTTAGAAAATAAATTTTTACATGGAATAGGTGCCTTACAATAACAGAGTAAGAGTAACAAGTACAACACACTTCTTGTAAAACTGAAGAGTATGACAGGCAGGGTTGAAATCAAAATTTGCTTCACATATATTGAAGCACAAAATATATTATTTCCTACTTACCAGCCTGACCATGAGCCACGTGAAGTAAAGTCGGTAGCCAATCAACGGCATGAAATAGGCTGATGAAAGAAAGCAATAGCCATTTTTTTAAAAACATTATAAACTGCATAACACACAGATTATATTTCTTCACCTATGAGGAAAGAATATATTATGGTGTACTATTAAAAGGATAAAAAAAGTAATAAAGTAGATAAATAATTAAAACAGGAAGTCAAAACTTTATATGCAGTGATTCTGATGATAATATGCCTCTTTGATACAGTTCACTACCCTGCCAGAAGTAACTGCCTACTCTTTGATTATGTGGTTAATATGTAAGTAAACACAGACACACTGACTACAAAGACATGATTTTGAGAGAATAAAGATTATAGTCTGCTGAAACCATGTAAAATCAACAGATATAAAACTTAAGGTTGTGAAAATGTGCCCAAAAACAACTTCACAAGAATCTGCAGTGACTCGGTACTTAATGTGACCACATATGAATGGGGTGACTCTGTATTTAATGTGACCACATATGAATGGGTGACTTGGTATTTAATGTGACCACATATGAATGGGGTGACTTGGTATTAATGTGACCACATATGAATGGGTGACTTGGTATTTAATGTGACCACATATGAATGGGGTGACTTGGTATTTAATGTGACCACATATGAATGGGTGACTTGGTATTTAATGTGACCACATATGAATGGGGTTATTTGGTTTTTATTGTGACAACATATGAATGGGGTGATTTAGTGTTTAATGTGATCACAAGTGAATGCAGCAATTTGGTGTTTAATGTGAATAGGGTGACTTGGTGTTTAATGTGACCACATATGTCAAAGGGGCGAATTGGAGTTTAATGTGACCACATGTGAATGTGGTGATTTAGTGTTTAATGTAATAAAAGGGCAGAGGTGAAATTCTGCCAGTACTCATCTTTTTTTAAGGCGACACTAGTACTGGAACTTATCTGAGCTGTTTTGTCAGTTTTTTATGTTTACACATAGATCTATTTTCTTTTTCAAAAACAGGTCCACTTTGCCCAGCTGAGTACCTTTACTTTTTTTTGAGAATTTCACTCCTGGAACAGGGTGACTTGCTATTTAATGTGACTTCATGTGAAATGGAGTGACTTTATGTTTAATGTGACCACACGTGAATTGACATAATCTCCAAGGCTTTTGTAGTTATTTTGAAAGCCCGGATGTGCAGTCCATGGATCACCTCGGGAAATACACATGGTATAAACTCTGTCAGAACTATACTTTTCATATCCTATATTGATTCAATGTTGTGTTTGAGAATTTATCTGCAAACTCCTCCAACTTGTCAGGTGGACTCGGGGTGTACTTATATGGTATAACCCCTTTACCAAGGGAACTAAAACGTGCCTGGAAAGTTACCCAAGAATAATTGTGTTTTAGAAACAAGTGTTTAGGGTTGCTGAGCCCAAAACAAACATCGATTTTGTGTTCCTGACCCACTTTGGAATCCTGGGGCACCAGGTTCATACCCCCACTCACAGATGGGTGTCCTAACAGAGTTTTTCGGACACTCTTGGGGTAGCTGTAGAGTTGGAGATGATAGAGAATCTAGATCAATATACTAGGGCCGCTGTAAACCACGAGAGTGCCTTTGAACCTCTCAGCATAGCACGAATATTTGATGCTAGCGTCTTTACATTTGACGTTGAGAAAAATGTGTAAAACATATTGTTGCGTCATCGAGATCATGTGATTCTCACGCTCTCTACTTTCTAGAATTATCCTGTACTTTGGCAAATGTTCTAGTTCTTACTAGATATAAGGTAGTCGGGTATATAAAAGAGGGGGACAACGTGACAAGGTAATGTGTGCGTAGATAGTGAGTAACTGATCTGCAGTCAGAAGTATTATTGAGCACGTTCGTCGTTATAGTGTTTGTTTAGCGCGATTGTTGAAGTTGAGTGTATCGGTAAAGTTGTATTCGGAAAGAATAAACCAGTTTTATTAAGTAAATACTTGTGTTGCTAAAGTTTCGTTTGAACGAAGTTACGGGAAGGTCTCCGTTTGTTAATCAAAATTTGTTACGGGTGTCAGAGAGTGGGA